TTAGATAAACAGCCTGGTGTCCTGCACACACTGTGAAGTTCTGATGTGGCTGCAAAGGGCTCCATTAGCCAGACGCCTCTCTCTAAGAAGGACCCTGGCAATGGGCCCTGCTTTTCCTCCAGCCTGGGTCAGGCCCTTGCTGGAGTGACAGGAGAATCCACTTCCGGCCAGAAAAGGTGGCTGCAGCAGAACTCTCTGCTGGGCAGAGCCTTCCTGCCTCACTGCCCACGCACCAAGACTTCCTCCTCACGGAAGGCCCAGGCAGGCCTTTTCATGAGAGAGCCCCCCTCAGCCTCTCAAGTGAGAGTTTTATCTGTTGAAGCCAGCCCTGAAAATTGAGCACCCACCAGGTTAGAGAACCATTTTACAGCCCGCCTGACCCCCCAGGTGGAGTGACCTTTGGATTGTATATCAGACATAGCCCCAGATGTTTATTCCACTGTCCACCATCCTGCCATGCTGTGCATGCACCAAGATGCTGAACAGTGCAGCTTTACGAGCCCCCCACACTGAGTAAACTCAACTGGGCTGCCTTTATTTGGTTTGCTCTGGAGTCAGAGCCAGGGGATTTGCTTTCTTTGAAAGGTGACCTGTGGGGAGAGAAAATGTCACTGCCAGCTGGTTAGCGGTGCTTCCTTTTCCAGTGACCGGTGGGCCTTGGAATCACGGAGAGGGCAGAATCTCTGCTGGCTCAGCCATGGTGGTGGGATTAGGTGACAGGTGTGACTGGGCTCAGCACCTGAGGGCTAGGGGTGAGGGGGACAGGCCAGCTGGGTGCTCATGGCTCTGTAGAGGACTTTTGGACCCAGTACTCTCAGTAGATGGGCTTGTCTTGGCCTCGGGGGGGCCAGACTAAGCCAGAAGTGGGGGAAGAGGAAAATCGGTTACAGAAGGAGAAGGAGGTGGGAGAGTGGCCAGCTGCAAAGCATCCTCCCACAGGCCTTTTGAGGGAAAAGTCAAATTAGCAGGACTATCGGGTGAGCCCTGTCTTCCAGGAGACATGTGAACCCATTGAGGGAGTTCAGACTGCTCTTTGGCAGGGAAGGCCCAGGGAAAAAGACCGTCACTCTGCCAGGACAGAGCTGGCTTCACCTCCTACAAGACGCCTTCCCTGACCTCCTCCCTCTGCTCCCACAGGATCCTGTTCATACGTCCTCACCATTCCCCGTCACTCCAGAACCTGCTTGTCCGTCTCTAGCACCAGAGCAAAGCTGCACAAACTTCATGGTGGGGCCCAGAAAACTGAATTTTTAACAAAACTGCCCCCTACCACCACCACCCAGATGATTCTGGTATGTGCAGGCTTCAACTACACTTTGAGAAGCATCTTCTCTAGAACAGCCTGTCCAATAGAAATACAGTATGAACCACAGATGTAATTTTAAATTTTCTAGTAGCCACTTAAAAACATAATAGAAAGTAGGTGAAATTATTTTTGAAGTATTTTTATTTAACCTGATATGTCCAAAATATTATTATTTCAACATGCAATCAATACAAAAATTGTTAGAGATATTTCATATTATTATTATTTTTTTTTTTACTAAGTCTTTGAAACCCAGTGCATATGTTATACTTACATCACATCTCAATTTGGATGGGCCACCTTTCAAGTGCTCAACGCCACATGTGGCTAGTGACTGCAATATAGGACAGCACAGCTCTAAAGCTTTGCTCCTGACTGTGGTCCACAGACCAGCATCACCTGTGAGCTTGGTAGAAGTGCAGGATCTCGGGCCCCTGCCCAGACCTACTGAATTCAGAACCTGCATTTTAACATGTTGGTGCTTTGTATGTGTGTTGAAGGCTGTGAAGCCCTGGTCTAGATCTAGACTGTGAGCTCCTTGGTTAAAGACTCTGATTCAACTTATTTCTAGCACCTAACGGAGGGCCTGATGTGTAGAAGGCACATAGAAAATCTTTTTGGAGGAAAGGAATGAATGAGTGAATCCTGCCTGCCCCTACCCACTCCTCTTGGCACCGCATTCCCTACGCATTGTTAGTGAGAATCTCAGAATCTTAGGTCTGAAAAGAAGTTAGGAGTCAGAGAACAAATGTATGTCAGAGCTGACAGGATATTTGAAGTTTCTGTAGCCTAACTCCTTCGAGCCCCAACTTGGGTAAGTCCTACAGCTTGTTGGGCACAGCTGGCCACTTTCTTTTGGGAGAAAAGTGATTTGATGAGGGCAGATCACTCCACACCGGGGCATGTTGCTGGGTCTGCCTGTCTCCTCAGATATCTCTGTACTCTTCCTCAGAAAGTCTATGGAGCCATTGCTCAGAGGCCCTAGGCCTGGCCTATACATATTAGCTATCCATCTATTTATTCGCAATCTTCTTCCAGAGAAGATTTAAGGCACCTATAAATATGCATAGATTTCAACAAAAATAGAAAAAATATTAAGGAATTATGCATAGATGCATGGACAACGATGTTCATCATAGTATTACACATAGTAGTGAGAAGTCAGAAACCACCTGAATATCCAGCAGTCGGGGAGTAGGTAAATAAACTCTGGTCCATCCAAACATTGACATTCTGTGTCACAATTAAGAATGCTGATATGGGGCCGGCCCCGTGGCTTAGTGGTTAAGTGTGCGCGCTCTGTTGCTGGCGGCCCGGGTTCGGATCCCAGGCGCGCACCGACGCACCGCTTCTCTGGCCATGCTGAGGCCGCGTCCCACATGCAGCAGCTGGAAGGACATGCAACTATGACATACAACTATCACTAGGGCTTTGGGGGAAAAAGGGAGGAGGATTGGCAATAGATGTTAGCTGAGAGCCGGTCTTCCTCAGCAAAAAGAGGAGGATTAGCATGGATGTTAGCTCAGGGCTGATCTTCCTCACAAAAAAAAAAAGAATACTGTATGGAAGTATTCACTGACATGGGAAATGTTCATTGTGTAGTATAAGAGTATGAAGGAGCTCATTTTATTTACATGCATGGGAGAATGTCTGGAAAGGATCTATATCCCAAAATATTAATGTCGCTTTTCAGGGAGAGGGATTATGAGTGATTCTTATTCTCTTTTTGACCACCCACTGCTTCTGTAATTTCTAGTTTTTTCCCCTCAGTGAACATGAATTCTTATGTAATACAGAAATAAAATTTACCAAATAGAATGTGGATGAGGAAAATGGGAAAAGGAGAAAATAGCAGTTCAACTCTGCGTAAGATTTATTTGAAAATTTAATAATTAAAAAAAATCCTAAGTGGTAGTTTATAGTTTTACGGCCCAGTGGCTGTATTTACATGTAGCAGGCAATTATTAAATGTTTGAGAGATGGACTTACAACATTGGCGTTTGAAAACCCATGAGCCAGCTTTTGTTAAACTTTAGTCTGTACTCAGGGAAGTGAAAGTTAATAATCGTGCAGTCTCTGTCTTGTTTTGAATGGAATCCGACAATGACCCACCCTTCACGTGTGGGCTCTAAATAGCCTGTGTATGCTGGATAATGATTGTGCAAGAGAGAATCCTAAAATCATGTGTTAGAGGAGGTGGGTGGGAGGGAATATGCGCACGTGCACGTGCACCTGTAAACTCTAGTGTGGGCCCACTTGTCACCAACTCCAATGCCAGCGCTTTGGTCCAAGCCACGATCAGTAGGCTCCTAACTGATCTCCCTGCTTCCACCTTGCGGCCCATTCGCTACCCTGTAGCTACAGCCATCCTCTCCATGGTTTGGCCTGCCTCTTGGGTCGCGTTGCCTATTCCTTGGCCCCTCGCTCGCTCCACTCCAGCCACGCTCACCTTCTCAGGCTCTTTGTACTTCTCATTTCCCCTGCCTAGAACATTCTCCCCCACCAGTGTGGCTTGTTTCCTCACCTCCTGTGGGTCTCTGCTGAAGATTCATGAGGCCATCCTCACCACTCTGTGTAAAGCAACAACCCCTATTCTGCTCCAGCACCTTGTCCTACTTCGTTTTTCTTCATAGCACTTACCCCCGGAGTGCATATTTATTTGTTTACTGTTTGTCTCCTCTACTAGAATGTAAACTCCTTGAGGACAGGAACTTTGTCTCCTTTCTTTACTGCCATTTTCTTAGTGCCCAGTGCTCCAAGTAGGTGCTCAATCAATGTTTGAAGGAAGGAATGGGCTTCAGATGTCATGTGACTGATCTTCCTCATTTTACTGATGAGGCGGCTGAGGGCCCACTGAGAAGGCCTCCCCGCCTTGCCCAGGGCCACACAGCTGGGCAGCGGAACTAGATCCTGCCCTCTCCACTCCACCCCAGCTCTGGCCTGTGCCTTGGAAGGGAGATTAACCACACGCACAGGGGCCGTGGCCTCGTCCATCCTGTCTCCTGTGTGTTTTTCCAGTTTATACAGAATTTCAGCCCAGAATAGCAGAAGAAAAAAAACAGTTGTTCCACCAGAACCCTGGAAACTCTTCCATGGGTCTGTCCCTGGAAAAACAGCAGCGATGTCGGGTAGGAAGGTACGAGATGGAGGAGGGGTCTTCTAGCACCGGGGGCAACGGGCTGGATTTGGTTTTGCAATTAAAATAACATCTGGGTCTGTTTCCACAGAGCGGTTCTGGAAGGTGGGTGGTCGGTCTGAAGTATCAGGTGGGGCCTTCCCCTGTCCTGGCCCAAGAGGGTTTGGAATGGTGGTTGACTGAAGGGCTCACCCAGCATATGACATATGAAAGAAACTGGGTCCAAAGAAGCCTCTGGAAACCCCACCTGCATCCTGGCCTGAACGCCTGCTGGTCTCTACCCCAGCCTTGCTCGGGGGGCATCTCCACACATCTCCCCCTTTGCCCTCACCCTCCTTGAGATTGTTCAGACACCCCCTTTGAAGCACAGAGAGCTCTGGCCTCCTCCTCTTATGCCCCATGTGGTTTGTTAATTGTCTGTGAAACGAGGGATTTGAGGCGTCACTCATCCATGTGAGGACGGTGGGGCCCTGGAGTGGTGGAGTGGAGTTGGGGCAGGGATGCTGAGGGCCGTTCCAGTCTTCTGAACCCTGTCCCTCTGTCTGTCTGGCTTCTCAGATGCAGCTTTTGGATAAGTTTCCCATCGAAGGTGGCCAAAAGGACCCCAAGCAGAGAATCATCCCCTTCCTCCCAGGTAAGCTTTGGATGGCCCCACTGAGGGGATGGCGGGTAACTTGGTGAGGGGATTCCTTAGGCCAAGAAAAGGCCGGCTGCTAAGCCAGAAATTCTGGGCAGAGTGGGCCTAGCAATCTGCATATTAAAAACTCTCCAGGGGGTCAGAAGCCCCTGATTTTGAAGGCCATTGTCCTCACAGGGGCCTCTCCCACCATTCTGGGCCATCTCTGCTGGCCCTGGGCTATGTAACTTTGGAAGAGTTTCTCAAGCTTTGGACTTTGGTTGCCTTTTTACAAAAAGCACGGAGAGATCAAGTTCTCCTATGAAAGGATGAAGAACTGCAGGCTAAACTCTTCCCGCTGCTCCCGTAGTAACCACAGGGAACCTTAAATTGGGCACACTTCCCTGTCCAATCTCCTCGAGCCCTCCGGCCCGGGGTATGAGCGCTTATATAACGTGGTCTGTGAGTTGGCAGAGTCAGGATTTGAACCCGGGTCTGTCTGGCCATAGAGGCCATTAACCGCTGCACCATTTTAGAACATGTTTAACGCATTTGATTATGTTGTGTAATTTAGAAGAAAACTTCTCAGGTGTGTCTTAACCTGATGTTACTATGATGTCTTAAATTGGTCTAGGGATTTATAACTTACCAAGTGCTTTTTTATTTGTTATCATATATAAATCTCTGTGCTGAGGTGTGTATTATAATTTCCGCTTAAGGGATGAAGGTGTTGGGGTTCAGAGATGTTAGGTAACTGCCCATAAAAGTGGCAGAGCTGAGGTGTGAGCTCAGGTCTGCTCCAATCTGGGCTCTTTGATCTGAACCACGTGAGCGACGCTGCCTCCTGCTCTCCAGATCCCCTGCTTTTCCCCAAGCCAGTGGGCTGGGCTGGTTCCCAGGGGAGCTTCCTTCATAGTGGCCTTCACCCTCGGTTGCTGCTGGGCCTGGACCTCCATGGGCCGGCCTGGAGGATGATGGCAGTCATTTGGTCCTTTGCAAGATGCAGGTCTGCATCTCATTAGTCCCTGTCACACTGCCAGCCTGTGGTTAGTACCTACTTGCTGACTTGAAAGTGTACCTAGGGGTACCTCCCTCAGAGAGTAGTTCCTCTCTGAAAGGTGCTCCTCACCCACCCCCATCTGCAAAAGCAGTGAAAGACAAGAGCATGCATTGCCACCTGGCCTGTGAGTCTTGTGCTAAAGTTGAAGAGAGTTAACTTAACTGCAAGGAAGAACTAAATCCTAGAGTTTGGACAAGATCAGAACCAGTCAGTGAAGGTATAGGGAATCTCACCCCTGGGCTCCTTCCATGGAGGCAGAGGACAGCTTCTCCGTTCCCAGCCTAGGAGTTAATGCTGGGGATTGTCGTGCGCTGCTTGGCTTTCTGCTGAGTCCTGAGGGAATTTGGAATGTCCACCATGCAGGTTTGTAATGACCTGAGACATTGCTGCAGTACAGTCCAGATGTGTTGCCCACCAAGGGCATGGGAGCCCAGCTGGATGCTGTGGACACAAGGGTCCCAGAGCCAACACGAAGCCAGTGTGGTGCCCTGGTGCCAGAGGTGGACCTGGCCTTGGGCCATGAAGGCTGCCTGCTTGCCCAGGAATAAGTGCCTGGGGCTGGGGGCTGGGGTGGCCTGTGACTCAGGGGAGATGGGGATTTGTTTCTTTCATCAAAGGACCCTCGGGCTAATGAGAGAGAGAAGACCTACTCCCTAATCAGAGAAGCGGTTAAGGCGGGCTGTGACCCTCTTCCACTGTGACATTCCAGCTTTGATGGGAGAAGGAGCTCGTTGTGAGCTGAGGAAGGCAGCAAAGGCCTCCTGAAAGAGGGGGCTCTGGAGCTGACCTCAAAGGATGGTGGGGTGCGCTGGAGGCGGGGTGAAGGCTTATGCCCTGCTGCTACCGTTGTCCAATGTCTTGGCACTCAGACTGCCTGGCTTCACCCTGGAAACCCTGGCTCTGTCGGTTACCAATTGTATTGACTTCTCTGTGCCTCAGTTTTTGTATCTGGAAAATAGGGATTATAATAGTATCCATTGTATAGGGCTGTTGTAAGAACAAAATGAATTAATACATCTCAGATGCTTAAAACTGTGTCTGGCCTCTAGTAGGAACTAAATAAATGTTAGCTCTTATTATCACCAATTCCTGACCCACTCTTAGCACAGCACACTCACATGTGTAATCTCATTTGATCCTCTAGTGATGTTATTGTCCCCATTTTACTGACTAGGAAACTGAGGCCAAGGGGGGCTAATAGACTTGCATGGGCCACACAGACAGGAAGTGGAACCAACACCAGAACTCTTATCTCTCGATTTCTGGACCACGGCTCCCCTCCACATCAGCTACCCCAGGAGAGGTTAACCCAGCAGCTGCTGCAGGACCAATGACCTCTCTGAACTTCAGTTTCCTCTTGTAGCATTGTGGTGAGGATTAAAAGAATTCATGTAAAGTGCTTTGCACAGTGCCTGACCCACAGTAAACACTCATTAAATGGCAGCTATTAATAAAGAAAGTAACCTGCCCTCACACCACCCCCAACTCCTGGGAAAAGGCAAGCAGAGGGACACCTTCCAGCCCCCTTGTAAATGTGACCTGTGCATGCTGGGTGATGTTGTCCAGAGGAATGAGGTTGACTGGCCCCCATTCCCAGCCACCCTAAAGGAAGTTTCCTTTTCCTCTGCTTTGCGGCTTCACTCCCCTTCCCTCTGTGGGGTTCTCTCTCCATTGCTTCTCTTTTGCTCACTTGCTCTCCAGGACTTCAGAATGGATGTTGCTGGCCATTTGGAATCCCATCCTGGGGCTCCCAGGCCCTGTTCCTGGCTTTCCACCACCACCCACTAGAAACTACCTTAACGCTTTGATACTCTACTCACTCTTTAGCTTGTTTAGGAGGGAAAAAGGTTGAGGAAAAACAACCCAACACAATCAGAACCAAGCAAGTGAGGGCTGAGTGAGCATGAGGATTCCCACCCCACCCCACAACCCTGATTCGAAGGGGGTCCCCCAGGAGAAGAGGGTATCAGAGGAGGTCAACGATGAATGTTGCCTGTCTTAGGTCAGGTTCCCTTAAAGCAGAGCCTGAGATGAAGATTCTTTTTCTTTCTTTTGGTGAAGAAGATTGGCCCTGAGCCAACATCTGTTGCCAGTCTCCCTATTTTTGCTTGAGGAAGATGGTCCCTGAGCTAACATCTGTGCCAGTCTTCCTCTACTTTGTATATGGGATGCCACCACAGTGTGGCTTGATGAGCAGTGTGTAGGTCCATGCCCGGGATCCAAACCCACGAACCACCCCAAAGTGGAGCACACAAACTTAACCACTACGCCATGAGGCTGGCCCCAGTGAGACGAGGATTCTTACGCAAGTGAAGTTTGAGAGCTGCTCTCAGGTGAATATCCTACAGCAGCAAGGGAAGCAGGACAGGGCAGGGGAAGATGCTGGGCAGAGATGTGGTTCAGCTGAATCTGGCCTCAGCCTGATCTCACAGGGAACTATGGAGGGTGGATGGCACCACAGAGTTGTCCCCTCTTAGGGGACAACTTTTATACCCCCCATATCAGTATATCAGTCATCTGTTGTCTGTGAGCCACTCCTCCTCCCAGAGGCATGAGGTGTGGGCATGTGCTCCCAAAGGCGAGGGCTGAGGGCATGCCTCTGGAGAAGGGGCAGCTGTGAGCCCTTAGCAGCCAACACCCACAGCAGTGAGGGGTGGGAGCATCAGCCGGTAAGGGGGCTCTGGGCAGGTTACCCACAGATCTACTATATTACCTCACACCAGCTTGAGTCTCTGTTTCTACCTCCCTGCCTTTGGGGATGGCGGCTGCTGTCACCTCCTGATTCCCCCAGCTCAGCCCTGGCAGCAGTGACTCAGCAGAACCTCCCAGAATTCAAACACGCTGAGTAATCCAGCTGCCTTCACTCTTAAAACCCCAGGAGGGTCAGCAGGCAGCCTTGGGAACAGCTCTGCCAATCCTTTGCCTTGCCTGGAATTTCAGAACAAGTAAAACCCAAGGGGAGGAAGCAGAGAGCACCCGTTATCTCCAGAAGAGTTAGTTTTAGCTTCGGAGATGCTGGGACCTGATGTGCATTTCTGCTGCCCAGGTGTGGGGTCTGGGGATGTGTTTGGAGCATTAGGCCAGCTGCTTTGCTTTGGCCCATCTGGCCACAGGCTCATGGCTGGGGGACTCATGGAAGTTTGACTGGCTGGTGGCAGAGGAATTGAGAGAAGAGAGGGAATCCTGGCTCACATGGTTACATGCTTGCTCATCTGCCAGTCAAATCCTGGCAGAAAGTCCCACACATGAGCCGTAAATCTTAGGAGCTAGGCCACAGGCTTGTGGTATGTCTGGGTTGTGTGTGGCCTGAGTTTGGGGTCAGCCTGTGCGTTTAAAGAGTGGTGAGGGCCTGGGGCTTCTGTGGCTAAAGGCAGAGGCTCCATCCTAGGAGAAGCTTACCCCAGACATGCCCACTGGTTCCTGGGGGACAGAAAGAATGTTCTGCAGTACTACTGAAGTGGGGGTTAGGGCTTGGGCAGGCTGTGAGCAGGGCCATTGAGGTGGTAGAAGGGGGAGCCAGTACATTTCAATAAAATCCGGTTTAAAGGTTTGTAGGGGAACTGCCCTTAATGAGGGCCCCCCAGTTGTCTTCACCAGGGCTGGAATCTGCTTTTTGGGCCCTAGGGGAGAAGATCCACTGTACCCAGGCCATCAGTGTTTGTGAGGCTGCAGAGCCCGTGGGAGGGGCACGGAGAAGTTATGGACCCCATGTAGGACAGGCGGTTCTCCAGCAAGGCATCCCAGGAAAGAAAACACAAGTGGTTTTCTAGGGGCAGAGAGTTAGTACAGGGCCTGGATACCCTGGGGGGGAGGTGAGGGGCAGGGAGAAGGGAGGGAGTCCCTCCAGGCCTGCCTGGGCCTCCAAACCCCACATTATGTGAGAGTGAGGGAGACGCACCCGGCTCTTGCTGCTGACCTTCGTGGCCTTCCTTTGAGACAAGGCCCTTATCCACTTGTC